ATACATTAGCCCGGTCATGTTTTCAAATCACTGATACAGTATACACACTATATATTAAAATAAAAATGCAGCTATCTAAATAGTGATTTACTCTCATTTAACCGCACCGGTATGCAAACAGCGTATTACTAAAAACTTGTGATGAGCTACAAGTGCAGTATGAGGTATAAATACCTAATTGCGAGTATAAATAACGATCCAGTACAGTTAAATGCAGTTCGACTGAAGTGTGTTAAAGTGCTCAATGAATTGCCCTTCGGGGGGTGAACCCGGTATAGCACTTGGCAACAGTAATCTATGTCATTGTCATATGAAATACTAAATTATGTACACTCGGTTTCATTATGGGCAGATATTTAAAAATTTTAATTTTTAATTAATCACATTTGGTATCTAGTTAAGTTTGGTATGATTTAGATAGTCTAAACACAAAAAGTATAAATGCTATAAATTTATTAACAAGTTGCATTTTTAAAATTGATATTTTTATTAAAATTAGTAAAAATAATATAGTTTTCACATATAGATTTAAAATTTTAAACTATAGTTAACATCATTAAACCTTTCTAGATTAAATATATCAAAGTTCATATGAGTTTAGTTAATTTAATAGCCTAATAAATTTTAGCATTCAGTAAAATAGTATATTCTATATATCAATCAATTATACATTTATCTGACTTTTTATGAACATCTCATTTAAAACTGATTGTACATATTCTTAGAAACTATAAATTTTTATTGTATAAAACTATACCAAACGGCCCTTGATCAAGTTCATAAATTCTGCACTTTTATTTGATGATTACGGTTCGCAATAATTTGCCTTGAATGTACAGCATTTGTTGCGTATTATCAGGGTAAGACATCTAATCGCACGAGTCCAATAGCACACGCCGTTACTGTACATAACTGTCGACTAAGTTAATTGCACTTCAAATAAAGTAATAAATATTTTTTTGTTTATATAAATATTAGTTTAATTGTGGTGTGAATATGCTGATTTAATAAAATAATATTGACATATTTATGCGCTATTTATAATATGATCAGCATATAAAAAATCATTATGGTGTATTTGTATGTTAGTAATGCTGTATGTTAAATTATAAATATTTTGTGAGCACATGGTATAGAAAATCAGTTCATTATAAATCAAAATTATAAATAATTTACATTTTTAATGCAACGTATAGCTAACAAATTGTAAGTATATTTAAGTAACATTCACTGAATATCACTGTAGATTAGATTATTGATAGCAAACTGTAACACGAATTAATGAACTTCAAAAGTTTAGCGCATTTTTTGTTTATAAAATATTTTTGAATATTACACTCCTTTAGTAGAAATAATCATTTTGATATCAGATAAAAGGTTGTTTCAGAATTGCATTATTCATATTAAATTAATAATATTAACATAGTTTTCATACAAATAATTATTTTAATAATATTTGTTTAATTAACTATTGTTTTATTAATAAATCATGATCAATATTAGTATGTTATATTATGTCTCATGTTAATTTCGGTGGTGATATAAGTGGCATAAATTTAGTATTCAGTATAAATTAAATATAAATTTAATTATGAAACCACTATTAGAATAAGTTGAGCTTGAACATTAATTTACAGTAATAATGTTATCCTTAGCATTATAAAACTATTTAAAAGTTTCCATAAATATTATGATAGAAAATGTCAACTAACTAACAAACCTATTTTCAATGGACATCAAAAATAAAATAGTCTATCCCTTAATACACACTAAAGCTTTATAATCAAACTGTTAATTTATTTGTATAAGCTAACTTATACACTATTAATTCATTAGTTAATACATTAATTGGAAAATCCCGAGAGGTGGTATTTTATATTCTTATATTTTTAATTTGCCCTGTATACAATTTAAAATTAATTTTATGAATTTATATCTATTTATTAATAAAACTGTAACTCTTTATCGCAAATACAATTAGTTTACTACCAAATTCTATATTAATTATATTGGTATGAACCAACCAAGCCCTATTTTATTATACTTTTAATTAATTAAAAACTATTTACTCACACAACTATTTGCTTACTGGGTCCATTATATGATTAAGAGTTTTAATTATTTAGTATCATATTTAGTGTCATAACCTCCATGTCCATAACCTGGATTTACAACACTTATGTCACCACCAGTACCTCTATTACTAAAATCTTTATAGTCAGCACCACCTGTCGGTATACCTGGCTTTCCCTTATTACAAATTAAAAAAGGATTCAAAAAATTATTATTTTTATTATAAACATCTCGGACTAACTGTAAAATCAATTTTTATCTATTACAAATAGTTTATTAAAAACAAAAAACCTTGTTTTATGGATCATTGAAAAAGTTAATTTTATAATTTTTAAAAATAATTTTGAATAATTTTAAACTTTCCGACATTTATTGCCAAAAGTCAACCGGCAACAATCAAAATTAAAATGTCATACACCGGCATCGAAAACCCATTATTTACTAACACCCGAGTACATTTTTTGAAAATAATTAATTTGTTAAAACTATAATAAATATCAATTTTTATGAGCTAACTTGTTGTAAGAGTATTTATATTTTAAACAATAATTACAAGTAATGCAAATTTATTTTCATAATTAACAGAACATAGCAAGAATATTTTTTCAGATTAACTTGGTTGTTTTACTAATAATAGAAAACTGTAAATATACTATTGAGCTTTCAAACTCACTTAACCATATTGACACATGACCTCTACCCTGACCTGTACCTATGACCTTTGCGTTCATTCCAGTATTTCAATTACTGTACATTTTGATAAAATTTATTTTAAGTGTAAAAGTTCTGCATTAAATAGATCTTAATAATACTTTTTACCGTTTCAGTCTCGGACTTGTAGTTAGCGAGCTATTCAAGTTTCCCCCCGCTCGTTTTTTTGTGTATGCCCCTATGAAAACGTAAAAGGCACTCAAAAAAAATTATTTTCTTTTCATTATGAACATCTCGGGCTAACTGTAAAATTAATTTTAATCTATTACAAATAGTTTATAAAAATCAAAAAACCTTGTATTATGGGATCATCGAAAATCGCCAATTTTATAATTTAAAAAAATAATTCTGAATAACTTTAAACTTTTCAACATTTATTGCCAAAAGTGAACCGGCAACAGTTACAATTAAAATGTCGTACACCGGCATCGAGAAGTCATATACATATGTTTTGTAAATAATTAATTTGTCAAAACTATTATAGATATCAATTTTTATGAGGCTGACCTGTTGTAAGAGTATTTATATTTTAAACAATAATTACAAGTAATGCAAAATGATTTTCATAATTAACAGAACATAGCAAGAATATTTTTTCAGATTAACTTATAAATTAATTGGTTTATGGTTTAAAAAGGGTTTTGTATTTTTAAATTACTTCTATGATGTACTGATATAAATATTTATCTGTGGTCATTTTTATAATTAAAATAATTAAAAAACTAAAAGTGTTAGTATTTAATGTTTAACTTACTACATATTTTTATAATTACAAACTGATTATCAATGAAAAGTATTAGATAAATAATATTTATAATTAATTAATTTCCTATAATCTCAATTAAATATCATCATTATTAAATTATTACTTATTGTCAGGGAAGTCATCATTTTAAAATCATAAAATTAATTGTTTAAGACGCAAAATATGTGTTTGAATCACAATGTATATTGTTTTAAATCATAACAGGCCATTTAATACTTACGCAATATGTTGATTACGAAAAAATTATTAACTTTTAAAAATATAATAGTTATTATGTGCTAAAATCACTATAGTTCAATTGATCGTCTAGGTGTTGAAAACAGGTATGTGTTTTTCAATGCAAACTGTATACATAACATAACATAATCGCTGTATTAGTAGTATACAATGGGATATGTTATACTATGAATACAATGATTATGTTATGTATACAGTTTGCATTGAATAATACATCCCGGGTTTCTGCACGTTGGCGATCAATTGTTTATAATAATATTATACTTATACGTTTAATTGAACTAAATAATTAGAATAGGGCTATTGGTATCTCACTGACCATTGGCTATTGAGTATTGATAAAACTTGTCTGACAGGTCAGGTTGTAGGTGTAAATATTTTTTTGGGATATGTAACTATATTGTAAGCAATTTTCCCATAGGCTTAACATGTGATATTGGGCACATTTTACTCAAATGCCCCATAGACTTAACATAGGGTTTGTGTACACTTTGATGAAATTTTCCCATAATTTTAGGTTAGCTGGCATTGGCGGCGCCCTTTCAGCGGCAAATTGAATGCTTTTTGTTATTTCAATTACCAGATGTTTACCTAAACTTCAAGGTAGAAAGGGCTTGGCTTCTTTCATATATTATAAAATAAGCTTGATCACAATTTACTATTTATTTAAGGCTATTAATAAAGAACTTTAATATACAGTATATAACAGTATGCAATTATATAACAATAAATTAAATTATTCAATTAAATTATAAATTAATAGCTATTACTAAGATAAATATTTGTAATTATTTGTACACTATATTTCAATTTTGTATTAATGAATTAAATTCTTAGAGGCTATTGAATAAAGATTTTGAATTATTAAAATTTTATTGTTATATAATAAATATTTAAATTTAAATTGCTAATTGGACAGCTAAATTATTGCATACTGAATGTTTTTAAATTTGCATTTGGACATTCGTAAGTAAATTATAAAATGAATATGATGAAAATTTTAACATAATTTTTGGAAAATTTATTTTGTTATATTTAATTGGACAGCTAAATTATTGCATACTGAATGTTTTTAAATTTGCATTTGGACATTTGTAAGTAAATTATAAAATCAATATGATGAAAATGTTAACATAATTTTTGGAAAATTTATTTTGTTATATCGAATATAGATTTTTAAAAATTTATTTAATCCATATTTATAACTTTGGTGTTACGGCATCGTAATAACCACCCTCAATTCCCGACTCATTATTGCCGCGTTTAATTTTGAAATAACCTTGCTCGCCAAACACTGTGCCCCACGAGTTAGCCACCAACCAGTAGTCGACACCATTTGTGTTACGGCATCGTAATAACCACCCTCAATTCCGGACTCATTATTGCCGCGTTTAATTTTGAAATAACCTTGCTCGCCAAACACTGTGCCCCACGAGTTAGCCACCAACCAGTAGTCGACACCATTTTCCACGCCCCAACCCATGAGTTTGACCGCATGTGCGCCCTCTACACCACCCGTCACGTGCTGGTAGACACCGGACTTGTATGAGTAAAAGTCGGTGTAAACCTATTAACAGGGTATACAGTAATTATAATATTATTAATAACAATATTTTGGAATGATAAATAAGCAATCTAAATATCATCTGGGTCATACAATAAGTACGTTGGCAAAATATTTCTAACCATCTACACTCTAAGCAACTTCATTCTCACTTACATTTAAAATTAAAATGTAAATAATATTCAGTATATTAAACTGATCTGGCCATTGATTACGAACTTATTAGATGATGCAAAACATGAATATATAAAAATAATATATTATATCATGGTACATACAATAAATTGAGCTGACACAGGTCCATTAGTCATGAGCTCTTTCTGAACATCCTTAACATCGACGCCATAGTATTTACTACCAAAGTGTTTGTCCTGAGTGTACGTACGGTTATAGCCGGCGATACATGTTTTCTCACACTTAGGGGTCGGTACGTATGAGGCGCACGGGTGACGACCGGTTATGGTGTAGGGCTGACACCCTTTATGACTGCCTACCAGTCCACCACTGATCACACCTGACTTTATATAATAGTTAAACACAGCGCGAGGGGAACCCCCATCACAACCACCCGCTTCACCACAGGTTAGGATATCTTCGGCTGACACCCTTTATGACTGCCTACCAGTCCACCACTGATCACACCTGACTTTATATAATAGTTAAACACAGCGCGAGGGGAACCCCCATCACAACCACCCGCTTCACCACAGGTTAGGATATCTTCGGCCGAGACCTCTACCTGTTGTTTACCCCTCGAGGCGATGCAAATGCGATCAGATATGACCTCTGAGGTTGAAAATGCCCAACACGAACCTGGTCATATTTGAAAGTTATTAATAAATACAGTATACAAAATTGAGTGGTTTCCAATTTTAATTTAATAACTGTTTTAATAATTTATGAAAATTTAATTTTTACATTCATTTACCAGAAAAATATACAAACTTTAAACAAAATGCATATAAAATGAACTCAATGTTTGGTTCGGAATACTATTGCGAAAATTGTTTTCATTATTAAAATACCGTAAAAATGATTACTCAAATCAAATTAAACATAAAAACGTCAAAAATTCTCTGAGAATTGAATGCAATAAAACTGATCCTGATTTTAAATCATTGGTTAAATAATTTTCTAGTTTAATATTGTAATATTTTCTCGTATTAATTGTATTATTTGTAAAATTCATATTTTGTTTCAAATATCACTCCAATAAACTTGTTTATGATTAATAAACTGAATATACAAATTGTATGAAGACTAACGTACTGTTAATACATATTAATAACTATCAAATCTATTACGATATGTATAACTAGTGCTGTGAGACATTTATAAGTTTATCAAGTTCATACATCCTTATTTTTAGGTGATTTTAAGTTTTGGTACAGTATAGTGGTATTAACACTAATTTAATTTTATATAATTGCATAATTTACTGTTTTTACTTAAATTGTAATCAATTAATATTTAAGTAAATAAGTATAAAAACTGTTTTCATATTTATATCAAATAATATTTGCATATTTATTTTGTACTGTATTACAAAGTATAAATAATTGAAAAATATTATCTTACTTATTTCATTTCAAATATTATTTTTTTAGTATTTGAGAAATATATTTTTATTTTAATCTAACATATTTATAATTGATTATAATTTATGACTTACCACAACATCCCTGATCTCTGACCTCCTTATCTGTGTAACAGTCTGGCCATTGTTGCCGGGGATCAAATGACTCCGGTATGTCCTCATCGGATATATCATAAGTTATCTCTGAACTTGGTGCAAGTGGTTTGTATCCGGGTATTAATCCTAATTTAGGTTTGAAATCACTCACAAAGTTGTTGCCAGCCTAATAAATAAATTAATATTAATAAATATCTTGAACAAATACAAAATAAATACATACTTTCCATGTTGTTTCCAAATTGTTAATGTAATCAACGATATGATTAACATTAGCACCATGAGCTAGGTGCACCATTATGGTACAACAAATTAATATTTGAACAAGCATCTTTGTATTTTGTAAGAATACAATTATTTAATTTAGTTGTTTTTATAGACAATATAATGCTTATATACATGTTGTTTAATCTATACATTTGTTTTATCACTCGGTTGGTGGTATAAAAACTTAAGCATCTTTGTATTTTGTAAGAATACAATTATTTAATTTAGTTGTTTTTATAGACAATATAATGCTTATATACATGTTGTTTAATCTATACATTTGTTTTATCACTCGGTTGGTGGTATAAAAACTTTCAATTTTTCATAGAAATTATATATTTTCTATTGATAATAACAAAGGTGATATAAAAAGTGTTTAAGATATTAACTACAGGTGGTACAATGATATATCTAGCCTTTTTCAATATGTTTAAAATCTTTAAATAATATTTTGCAATAATGCCTTACAATGTTAATCTGATAATTGCAATGAAATTATTAGTATCAATATTTATTGTTTTAAATATTTATTGTCTTAAAACTATCATAATTAATACATTTAATTAAATTTTGTGTGTTGTCTGCAATGTCGGCGACAATGGTTTTATGAGCGCGTGAAACTTTATTAACGGTTTTTTATGTATTTTTTATTTATTTTGATTTGAATGCATTGTTGCGCTAAGTTTACCAGTAACTAGGATTTGCATACAATATAGTGTAAGCGCGTGAGACGTGTTGAAAGTACAGTAATACTGTATGTATTGAGTTAGNGCGCGTGAAACTTTATTAACGGTTTTTTATGTATTTTTTATTTATTTTGATTTGAATGCATTGTTGCGCTAAGTTTACCAGTAACTAGGATTTGCATACAATATAGTGTAAGCGCGTGAGACGTGTTGAAAGTTGTCATTATGACATACATAACTCAATCACTAACCAAATAACCAGTCTATCCAACCCTATCCATCCCCTTTCCCTAATCTATTACTAAAGGTTAGTGATCTGTTACATGATGGTCAATACGACCTGATATTAATAAGATTAATTAGTTTTTGTGTGTTTGTTAGGTGAAACCAGTGATGAATGGTTATTTATTTATTTTTATTTGAATGTATTGATGCACGCGCTAAGTCTACCAGTAATTGGGATTTGTATACAATAAGGGTTAGCGCGTGAGACGTGTTGTAAATAGAGTAAAGATTAAATATTATATACTACCAGTTAATCTGGACTAGGTTTATTTGTTAAAATATTGTTGTTATTTATATAATATATGTTTGTTCTTACAAGGTCACCTAGAATTATTTATTATTTATATAAGATACAAGACTTTATATTAATTATATTAGGTCTAGTTTTCTAATTAATATTATTTTACTTTTAATTTATTTAATTAAACTAATTAAAAATCTTTGTAATATTTTGAAAAAAACATCTATTTTAATTAATTATAATCATACACCCTTGTTCATTTATATCAGATGAGGTGGACATAACGACCGTTAAAATCCCGACCGACACTAAACACACCGTTATTACTGACCACAAAACCGGTCATAAAAATAAGGAACTCCTACCAAAAGATGGTGAAACAGCACCGGTAGATGAAAAATCCCTTGCACCTGACCAGGGTCAAGACAAAAATTCACAATTAGAGCCTAAAAACTATGTACCCGACGGTGAATACCCGGTTGAAAGTGGGGTAAAGGAGGCGGAAAATCCCGATAAAAACTACGATAAGACTCCCATTGAAGGCACCGGTGGTCCAGAGTTTGATTTGGGGAAAGACTACAAAAAGGTTGCGATTAAGGACAAGGATCTGAAAAATAAAAACACAGGATTTGGTTTCGATGATGAATATCAGGGTAATAATGATGGTGGATTAGGTGGAGTCGGCAACCCTACCAAAGTAGACAATAAGTACCCGGGTATAGGGGATGGTGTCGACAAAAAACCCGGTCATAGGGTTGGAGGACCGGTCGATGAGGGCCAGTACCCTAACGATGAGATACCTATTGATGGTAAACCTGTTAAGAAACACCCGAATATAGGGTTTGATGAGAAACCGATTAAAGATAAATACCCAGGTGCTGATGGTGATAAATACCCTGGTGTTGGTGTTGGTGATGGTGATAAATACCCAGGCATTGGTGGTGGTGACAAATATCCAGGTGCTGGTGATAAATACCCGAGCATTGGTGCTGGTGATAAATACCCGGGCATTGGTGGCGGAGATAAATATCCAGGTGCTGGTGATAGCGATAAGGGAAGGCCAGGTATACCGTCAGGTGGTGCTGATTATGAAGATTTTGGGGGTGGCGGTATTGGTGGTGACAAAGGTGTTGTAGATCCTGGTGCTGGTGGACACGGAGGTCATGGCACAAAATATGACCCTGCATTGATAAAGATTGGTAACCATATAATGGATCACTTGTTGGTACTAATGAAACGTGACTACCGGCGCGATTTTGAGAAAGTTGCCCTGTCCGAGGTGGGACCAATTAAGCATGGTCGTTGGGGTGAGCATATAGTTTTTAATAAATTACAATTAAAATAAATAAAATGTTCAAAACTGACCTAGACCAATAAAAATAATATAGAGTTTAGTAGTAAACTAATTGTATTTGAAATACAGAGTTACAGTTTTATTAGAGATTATTATTATGTATTAAGTATTTATTATTTAACCAGGATCTGTTATCTTACACGATGGTTGGGTGACCGGGTTAACCAACATTGAAAGAGCTGGCGATGTCTTAATGATGGATGAGTTTGCGGGCCGTAAGCTAATCGTATCCGACTTAGTCGTACGGGACATATACGCCGACTATAAAGTGAATGCAAAGCTATTCCACAGGATTTCCATCAAAAATCGTGAACTCAAGCTATCGTTGCGGAAAGCCGTCCTAAACGTGAGGCTAGAGGTCGACAAAAATCAACAAAAACTGGTCGTTAAGGACGTGTTGTTGAAGTCTAAGGAGGGCTTTGGGGTAAAGAGTGGTCGACTCGTGTGGCCCTTCAATAAGCTGACGGACAGTATAGTGAAGAGTCAGGAACTGGTGGTTATGGCGATCATCCAGAAGGAGGTCAACCGATATATGGGTCGAGTGGTCGACAATATTAAGTTTGATGAGGTGTTCAGCAAATTGTTTTTAAAATAAATTGTGTATTAATGAAGTATGTACCTTGATAAAAATTACAATTGAATTAAAAATCTACATTTAAAAAAGTTGTATATTTTATTTGTTTAACTTTTAAAATGCATAAAATAAATTTACTCGTATAACATGTTATGTAGGTAAATTGTTTTTAAATTTAGTGAACCCGGGTTACTTAAAAATTATGAATATGTTAATATTATTATTAATTTTAAGGACATATTTATCAGAAATATTTACATTGATTACAATTAAATTTAAATCACATTAAAATTACATTTACATTTACATAAGCACGTCATTTTTACTTTTCAATTAATAATTTTATTAATTTTTGTTTATACCAAATAAATTTTGATAAAAATTTTACAGTTTAAACAATTTGCATTTAATTATATTTTGCAACATTAACCGATTTTTAATAAATTAAAAGTAAAATAATATTAATTAGAAAACTAGACCTAATATAATTAATATAAAGTCTTGTATCTTATATAAATAATAAATAATTCTAGGTGACCTTGTAAGAACAAACATATATTATATA